ATAGTTTTTTTAAATGCGAAATTGTAAAAAAAAAAGAAAACAACCTATTCCTGCCAAGACTGTTTCACACTGTTATGTTATGAATTATAACTCCAGTCTGTTGTACAGTTAGACAACAGTGCTTGGCACAAGGCAGTCATAATAAAATTATATGCTGCAAAAGTGCTCTGGCTGCAAAAAATAAATTAAAAAAAATATTTTTTTTTTGTCTGTTTTTTAAGAAATCCTAGTTGCATATTAGCCAACGTTGATTGCACTTGTCTTGTGCTGTGATCAGACAATTAGTTACTCCAGTGCTACAGTGTTTTGTTCTTACTCAGGGATTACATACAGACCTGTACGGTCATAACATCATTTGCTATAAATTACAATAGGTCCACATTTTCAAGTACAAGTACATTTGAAAATATTTATATTTATTTATATTTAATGAAATACAATTTGACAAAACATCACCATCATTTTCTCTTTCAAAATGTATCAAGCGGGCCGGATTGAACCTTCTAGTGGGCTGCTTTTGGCCCGCGGGCCATATGTTTGACACCCTTGTCATAACTCAACACCATTTAAATACAAACACACTACTTAATACAGTACGTGCAGTATGTGTGTCACCTGTGTTGGTTGAAGCTCCATCTGTGGTACATCAGTAAGCTTTGGCAGTAGATACCCCCCCGCCCCACCTCCATCCCCCATTTTTCTTCTGTGTCATCAGTGCCCCCCAGGCGTCGCTCAGATGAGGCCCCTACAGGCTCGTCTGTGTCTAATCTGAGCCTGCTGCCAAAGGAACCTATTAGTTTTTTTCATGCTTCTGGCAGAAAAGTAGTGCACCTGCAGTGTTAGCTAGCCCCTTGCTAATACAAATGAGGAAAAGGTCGTATCAAAGGCCTGATTAGGCTGGTTATTTATGTATGACTTTGCATATTAATGACTTGGCTTCAGGTGGTAGAGAAAGGATATGCATCATAGGGGGGGGCCACCCGGAGTTTGGCGCCCCCCCCCCCCACCCCCTTTAATAATTCTGCACTCTTTGTGTGCTGATCCAGTTTAAACAGGGAGCTGTGGGCAACTGTCGTCGGGTGTAGATTGTGTAAATACACCACAGACTTCAGCTGACACTTTGACCTTTACCCGTTTTGGCTATTAAGCCTTGTGTGAACACGGTCGTGTGCACTCTTGGTGCTTGCTCAGCAAACCCCCTGTAACTCCGGGTCATTAGAAGAGCAAGCAGCAGAGTGGTCCTTTTTTTTTTTTTTTTTTTTGGTGAACTCTACCAGATAAGCCGTTAATGAGAAAAAGCATGAAATGTTGCGAACCCTTCAGAAAGTGAGTCCAGCCAGAGTCAGACGTATAGGCTGTTAGCAAAATGATGATACTGAACGGATTGTTTGGCCTGAGGTTGTGGGTGGGGGATTCTGCATCTGTGTGCCTTTTGTCAAAATGACAGTGAGTTGCTAATATCTGCTTCCACAGAACAAATTAGGCGGATGCGATGTGTTTTCTGCCCTCTAAAATCTTACATTATGACATTAGCGTTTGGCTTCTTATAATTATTCTACGGTCGGTCCGTTGACGGGGGCTGGAACATCTGCCTTTTCCCAGACAGCACGCAGGAAGCGCAGTCACAATAGAGAACCGTGTTGTCCTACTTAAACTTGCCGGAGCTGTTTGGCATGTGTTTATTACGTGGTCCTTAGAAGATTGCTGCTGCTGCTGCTGCTGCTGCTGCTGGTGGTGGCATCATTAACTCATCACTGTCAGGACTAACTAGACCATGCAGTTAACATAATCCCGGCCTAATGATCTCATAGCATAGCAGCCTGATTAGCTCTAGCTGTTTAATACGTTTTCTAAAGTAGGAATTACAGAAATAATCCCGGCCTAATGATCTCATAGCACAATAGCTGTGCTATAGCTGATTAGCTCTGGCTGTTTAATATGTTTTCTAAAGTAGGAATTACAGAGAGATCGGATGATGTTTACGGAAACATTAGAATTGTTGATCTGCAAGGTGTTCTCGCTTTTTACTTTTTACTTTTTAAAATGATATTTTATTGTGAGTCAACACACTGTTAGCAGCAAAGTCATCCGATCCTTTCACTGTAATCGTTAGTGAGACTAACATCCAGGTTTTGGATTTCAACACCACACCAGAACCGGTGTGGTCCCAGGTCCTGTTCATCCAACACTGATTTGGACACGGGGCTGACGGCGGGGTGTCAGTTAAGGGGAAACAATTACCGTGTTAAACTCTAGAGGATTCAGTGTCATCCCCTGCATTCCCAGAGCTCGGAGAACCGGTTCTGTCTCTTTTTGTCCACATGCTACATGCTACGTTACCTGAGAAGGTATTAAAGTGATCAGTCTGAATAGATACTGGTATTACACTCACAGTCATCGTACAACTTCTACTTTCTACTAAGTCGTCTCCGATCATGGGTCACGATCTGGTGCAGGGGTCACCGACCTTTCTGAAACTGAGAGCTACTTCATTGGCCCGTAGTAATACGAAGAGCTGCTTGTTTGATACAGACTTGCTGAACAAT